CGAGAGACTCGTCTGCGCTGTTTATGAAGACAGTCCGTCCTCTAATTTTAAGGGTTTCCGAGTCCCTATTGAAATTCATTGCGAATTCCGTCGTGCAGAGCATCTTCAGCAGGAACCTGTGGTTCAGGTTCTCTGCTGGTAGTCCGTCGACGCGCCATTGGAAGGTGCGAGGCTTGGCTGACGATGTGGTTGTCGCTGACGGGGTGGTCTGTTTCGGAGAGGACGGTGCTGAGAGCCTTGATAAAGGCGCGGCTGGCTGCCTTGAGAAAGGCGTGGTTGTTGATGTTGCCGGCGGGGTGGCCGGCCTCGGCGAGGACGGAGCTGAGGGCCTTGATAAAGACGTGGCTGGCTGCCTTGAAAAAGGCGTGGTTGCTGCTGGCGGCCTTGATGAGGGCGTCGGCGAAGTGCATTGTCGCTTCGGCGACATGGAGGCCGATCGGCGCGGCTTCTGAGATTGCCGCGATGGGGCCATGGCGGTCTTCTTGGCCGGCGGTGCGGCGGTAGATGAATGGGCCTTAGTGGCTGTGGCAGCCTTAAGGTAGGAGGCCTTCAGTGGTGAGAACGTCACCTTACTGTTGGCCCTTCGGAGCCTTTCAGCCTTGGTGCTTGGCTTCAGGTCTGGGTCTGTCGGTTTCGACGGCATCGGCATTGTCGCGTTGTTGGTGTTCCGGCGGCTGGTGGGCTTGGCGCGGTGCGCTCACTATTGGGAGAGTACCCCACCCATGGGCGCAGTGACACTGTTCACTTGGTGTTAAAAATCCCGGGCGACTCAATGAGTGCGCGGCACGTTGTTACCGCGGCTGTGGTACGATGCACAGCGCGTGGTGTCACAAGTACAGAGTACAAAGTACACGGTGCACAAAAATGTCACAAAAAATGTCACGGCACAAACACAAACGGCAAAGAGAGAGACACGAAAATGGTGGCACTAACCTTATCCTTGGGCTTGTTGCGGATCCTAGGGCTGGAGCTGCTGGTAGAGATGTTCACTGGTCGGAGGCACGGCACGGAATCTTCGAAGAACGATTATGGATATCCGGCCGCTTATATACCCTCAGCGGGTATCATCCTTATCTGCCCTTCCAGGTATATCCTCTACGGGCTGGAGTAGGGCGTACCGTACCGGGTTGGTACGTGACATCATATCCGGGCTGAAGTCAGCGCCACAGCGGCAATCGCAGAAGCCGCGCCGATCAGCCTCCATGTCGCCGAAGCGGCAATGCACTTCATTTTAATTTTTAAATTCTTTTATTATGTTTAAGAGTGTTACAAGTTATTACAGTTAGTTATGTGGCTTTTTGCGAGCTTAAGCTCTTTGAGCCATTACATTAAGCGGTTAATGGTAAAGTTATAAAAAAAGAAAAAAAAATT